ATATGCAAATCTTCCTACATATATGCAAATCTTCCTACATATATGCTGAAAGTATTTGTGATTCTTATTATTAATTTAGGAATTGTGAAATTGAGTTGTGGAAGTTAATTTTTTTTAACGTGTTAGCAAAATATGTTGATACTATATGCAATTTATACATGATACATAATTAAAAAAGTTGTGATAATAATAATTTGACGTGGAAGTTAATTTTTTTTAACGTGTTAGGAAAATATGTTGATCTCATATGTAATTCATACATGATACATGTTAAAAAAAAAAAGTTTTGATAATAATAATTTGATCTCTCTAACTTTTGTATTGTATTTCTGGGGAAACCCTCATTTTCGAAAATTTTAACTTATCGCCGGAATATATGGTGATTTTTCTGACTAGATCTCCTTTTGTTTGCTATGCCTTATCGACCTTCAGCAAAAGAGTTTTTTACACATAAACATAAATAGCAGAGTTTTGAGAAAACTTTCTTCATCGGATTTCAAATTTCAGAGAGAGATTTCCTATTTGATATTTTAGACCTAGTATATATAGCAGAGTTTTGGGGAAGGTCAACTTTCTTTTTGGGGAAAAATTGAAAATTGAAACTCAAAGGTGCACTGATTTTTGGTACCACCGCCGCCGGATTGTTTCAAGTTTGAAGAACAGGACTTGAACCCATTGATTTTGCAAAAATTAGAGACTGATTTTTTATGCAGAACAGATGAGAATATTCAGATCTGTGAAGATTCACTGATTATTTTTTTTTCGAACCACTTGTAATTATAGAATCTCCTTCGATTCTGTGCTTAGATTGTTTTGGTGAGATTGTAGATCACAGAGATCAGAGAGAGAAATCAACAAAAATCGAGTGGATTGGATAAAAGAAATAGCAAAAAAGTCGTCGAGTTTGTGATCTAGATCTATATTGGTGAAATATTAATAGAAACTTGTGTCCTTATCCGTTGCGAAGTCTACGAGAAAAGTCGTCGAGTTTGTGATCTAGATCTATATTGGGTGAAATATTAATAGAAACTTGTGTCCTTATCCGTTGCGAAGTCTACGAGATTGAGTTCGAGCACGAACAAAAAGCTAATTAAACAACTGGGAAATGAGGGAATCGTCGATACATAATTAGATATAGAGAGAGAAACATATATATATATATATATATATATATAGAGAGAGAGAGAGAGAGAGAGAGAGAGAAAAGAGGAAGATAGAGAAAGAATTTCATAAAAAAGGAAGATAGAGAGAGAATTTCTCGGTTTCCCTTTCAATTTGGATGTTCGAGAAAAGAATCTCAGAATCTGTATATATACATCAGTTTTGGGGGCAACCTTAATTTTGGTTTTGAGGGGAATTTGAAATTGAAAATCAAATATTATGTATAGAAAGGAAAGTTACGGAGTACATAAATGGTATAAGAAAAACTACAGTACCTACTCATTTTACCATCTTTGCCACATCAGCTGAGAGCCCACCACTGGACACTTTCTAGTGAGATGCGAATGGAGAGGATTTTTCTCCTTCAAAATAAGGACCATTATCCAATTTAGGAGAAAATTGGGAGCAAATGTGGATGGAAAATTTTTCCTTCAATAAGGACAAGACATGTCATCAAGCCTGAACCTACAACCAAATACTCCATGGGCCAAGTAAGGGTAGAATCACAAATTCATAAACAAAACTCAAGTTCCGAGGCCTAGCAAAGATGGCAAAGGATAATAGACTATGGGTTAAGGCCTGCTCAAAAGGTCCGGCCCATTTCTTCAACCCGAATCTAATAAAGAAATTATTAATTCATTTATGTAAATCATATAGAATTGTACAATTAAGGAAACATTAAACTATATAGTAAGAACTTGGTGGAACAGGCAATGTGAGTCCTAACCCAACTATACTTTGTAATTCATTATAAATAGAGGTAATAACCTCACAATAAAGTACGAGCAAAATTCCGTAATTATTGTCTTTTTTATTCTTGATTCCTTTGAGTGTGTTGTAATTATTTTGACTTCTTGGGGAAGCTAATTTTTGCACCTACACAATATTAAATGTTAATAGTTGTTGTTTTTGAACACATTATTAAATGTTACATTACTTTATTAAATGTTACATCAGCTTCACTGCTAGATGTCACGTGGAGAACTCAAGACTTGCTCTTTTCAAGTCAAATAGGGTTTTGTTGTTATACAACATAGATAATCGTGAAAGTAATTAAAAAGAAGTGTAGGCATCGTACGTGTTAACTTTGTCCTGTGTCTTGGGCACACTGTTTGGTTGTTACATGTTTCATTAGACCAAAATGCTAGGTGTCACATGGAGAACTCATGATTTGTCTGTGAAGTAGTGTCTTTTGTAAAAGATAGTAATTTTAGATCTCCTAAACACTTTCAGACAAGCCATGCAAGTGCCCAAAAGCAATGGAAAGATGGCAATGGCAGCAAATATGGTGGCCTCCATGTGGAAGAAAATTCCACAAGTAAAATGTTTGAGCATTGTAGTTATTATTATTATATATATATATATATATATATATATATATATGCATGTATAATATTAGTGGATGTGTATGTGAAATGGTTAAACTAGGGTTTTATTCTATTAGAAGTGACCATATATGTCTAATATTTATATATGAGCTTATAGAAGAGTTCATTAAATCGTCTCATATTTATCTCTTTCTTTGTCTCTCTCTGCTACGCTTCTATATATACAAAGGCATCGAGTGACTAAGACATCTGAGTAATGCGTCCTCACTTATGGGAAGATGATCCATTCCATTTCTATATGAAGAATGTCAGCATGATAGAGACCTAATGGGGTTCTAATGACAAAAGTAGCATCTTTTGGAGTGACTAATTGGTCTCAGGAACCAAAGGAAAAAGTCTAATGGCCGGTAAGTGTCTTGCTTCACATTTTGATAGTTGAGAGTTCAAATCTCTTTAAGATCACTTTCAGAAATATTTGGACTAATTACTTAATGCATATAAGATGGAAAATGAGGTGTTCTAAGAGCTCTGACACCATCATTGTAGACGAAAAAAAGAGTGTAAACCTAGATTTATAGTTTCTAATTTTACTAAATTTTGATCACTGTAATTTCACTGTTGTTTGGGTCAATGGCAAAACGTTTGAGCAACAGTGCCATTGACACAAGTTTTCTCCTCAACAACTTTCTCAAATAGAAAAGGTTAGGTTTATGAAAAATGGCTCATGTACTTTTTACGTGATAACGTGGACATACTTGAACAAAGGTGAAGAGTGCTACTAAGATTTTTTTTTTTTTTTTTCATTGGTACTCACACACACTTGTCTCTTCTGAGACTTAAATCCGTGACCTCCCTTTAAGAGATAAGAGGCTGATAAGCTTGACTAATAGTTTATATGACACTCAAACTAAGGATGGAGGGAGGAGGGAAAAAAGATATTAACTTAGGGATTTGAAAATTTTAATCATCTTTTCTGGATAGAATGGGTTTATTAATTAATTGCTAAGAGTAATGAATGAAGAAGTATAACATCAGCATATACTGGCTGTGTGTAAAAATCTGACATTTGAGATGGGGTAAGAGAGAGAGACAGAGAGAGAGAGCAATTCAAAATTGGTACAGAAGGGGCATTTCCCCAGATTAACTCTACCAATCAATATTAAGGCCTAACCTACCAACAGCTTCAAGTTATCAAATATTATCCCAAACAATTTTACCTTTAGAATTGAGAAAATTAAGAAGTGTTGATAACTTTCTCTTAGAAAAGGAAAAATGTAAATACTAGACTAGTAGGCTCCATTACTGACAAGAGCTGACTCAATAGCGAGCATTCAAGAGTAGGCAATAATAGAGCATTCAAGTGAAGCGTCAATTCTGTCAGAGAGTACTCCCCTTTCTCTAAGTAATAAGGAAACTTGGCTGGGTTCTACAATATAGGATAGGGCACAACTAGTCCAATGGGAAATTCCGCTGGTTATCCGATTAGCAAGAGATTTGCAATCATTGGATGAAGCTTGGAAAAAACTAAAGAAACTCCAAGATGTTTGAAAGGATAGTCCCAATTCAAAATCAAACAAGCTTAGAATTTCAGATTTGCTACCTAGGGCTAAAATATCCTCGCAGTGGAACCGACAACAAGAAGTTCAACAAGATCTTTTGCGAAGGACGAAAGAATCTGGATAGAATCATATCACTCTCTCTCTCTCTCAAAGGAAAAATTAATGCAAAAGCTTAAGGTTTCGGCAGAGTACTTATATACTATCAAGAAATATCATGTGCAGAAGATAAGGAGAATTGATTTCAATGAAAGTCATACATACCTTTGAATGGTGGAACTTGGGAGAGAAATGAAGAAGTAAGAGGCTGCCAATTATAGTTATTCTAGTCTGCAGAGTCAGCCCTTGAAAGGAATGATTGATTGAAAGAAACAAATGATTAACACAAAAAAAATGAAAAGACAAAAAAGGAGAGAAAATACAAAGACCTAGAATAAAGAGATTAATTTTTTTGTGGAGAACTCTCTACAACTTCAAACAGAACAATCCCAAGCATGGAAATTTTATACAACTATAACAGGATGTCGTTCCTTGAATAAAGAGATTAAATTTTTGAAGTTCAAGCATTTGTATCAGCATTATGATTTCTGATTAGTGTAGAAAGAAAGCTATCATTTGAACTAGCTATACAAAAAACAACAAAAATGAACTAGTTCTAAAATTGAGTCAAGGTAAATATGATCACATCAAGATTCAAGACACCAGTACAAAAAATTTAACAGAAAAATTAAGGAAATGCTGATTTCTGGAAACAAAGGGTGATCAAAGCCCTAATCATGAAATGAATACAGTTAAAGTTTTTGCTGTTATTCTCAAATTGTGAAAAGGGGTCTTAGGGTTTTCCATCTGTGAAATGACAGAAAAAAATTGAACTGAATTATCTCCTTCATCGTGATCCTCCCACTTGAATTCAGATCGATCAAGAGCAAGAGACATATATATATAGCAGATAAAGTAAGCTCAAACCAAAACCCTAGATTTCATATATGTTTATTCTCAAATTCAAATCATGACACATCCATCAGTTACCTAATCATACAAAATCCAATTCACAAACCTTGTTGTCTGAAGAGATACAAGGATTAGCTTCAGAGGTCATTCCCTACTAATATCCAAGCTTAATAGTCAATTAAAGACAAATTAAGTAAAAATACCTAAGCCATGGAAAGGAAAAAACCCACTCCCCATCCTCATCCCCTCCACAAATTTCATGTTCACTGGCATCATCCTAATAGCAATTACAAGTTTCATATCGTTTAGAGAGAGAGAGAGAGAGAGAGAGAGAGGGTTTTTACTCCTTTCCATTGATTACATTGAACCTGAATGGAGTAGGGGAAACGGTAGCTTTTTTTGGTGGTTCACCTTCAACATTTGATGGTTCTTCCTTTTCTTCATTGTTGCCACCCTTATATTGGTTAGCTCTCTCACCTTCTAACTCCCTATATCTGTGCAAGTACCTTCTTAATGGCTCAGCAAAGTCATCAAACCCTAGAGTCGCCAGAGCCCAACAAACGTCGTCCCCATTCACGGTCTTGCGCTTCTCCTTGTGACACTTGTCAGATGCTTCTCCAGTAACAAAGCTAATGAACTCAGATACACATTCTTGCATGGTTTCTTTTGCTTCTTTGGATATCTTCGCGTTAGCCGGCAAGATCTGCTTCATGATCCGGCCCACATTAGCTATCGGCAGCAAATGGTCTTGCTCTTTGATTACCCCATCCTGATCTCCTGAGCCACCACTAGCACCTGCAATGTTGTACCTAAGGTCACCACTGATTGTTTTAGAGCCTGTATTATCTACCATTTCTATAAAGAGAAACTTATCCTGTCAAATACACATACATTGTTGCCTTCGGTGCCTAACTCACCGCTATATATGTATATATATATGTAGATATAGATAAATACTAACATGTATATGCATAATTCCATGTTTATGCACATATGCACCATGTAGGGAAGTAGAGGTTCCATGACATGAGGTGGCATGGTCATGATGCCCACACGGTCAGCATCTTTGGGGGACACAATGGCAGGCAATTTTCCATTGATGGTCTGAGTTAGGTCACTTTTCTTATGTAACCAAGGATGCTTAGAGGGTCTGTGGGAGTAATCTTAACCCTAAAAGCTTAAAGAAAAGGACTTGCATTCATCAATTATAGACCATATGGTCCCCCCACAACCCCCCCCCCCCCCCCCCCCCCCCACACACACACACATTTGGTCATTAACTTTTAATACTCTCACTAAGTTTGGATTAGTACTTATACTTTAAAAAAAGCTCTAAGTTTTGAACTTGTGGACTACAGACACGCACGTTATCCACGCACGTACGTGTGCTTGTGGGAGTGTGCATGAAACCAAACAAAACCTAAAAAGAGCAGGATTAAATATAATTGGAAACTCTAATGTTGGATAACCTACTACTTAGGTTTTACATTAGATCATGTCACTCTAAGCTTAAGAAAAAACATCTCTATTATTATTTAAAATTTGCCAGTTAAAGGTTCAACCCGGAAAAACTGGATTACCAAATAATATGACACAGAGCCATGATCTATAGGGTTGAGATGCTGGCAATGGTATGTACATATATACATGGTTTGTCCAATAATTATTGCGAATTAGGTATACTAATTAATTACTCGTGCAAATCAATTCAGAGGTCATGATCTTGATTGTGCTTGATAAACCATTCTAGCAAGCAACATTGTAAAATGACTCATAAAAATTAATGATTTATTAAGATGGCCTAATAAAACATTGGCTCAATCTTGTAGTTTATCAAGATCTATTTTGCTTATTATGTAAGCCAACCCTAATCAGATGCTCATTTGCTTGATGTTTTAGGTCAAATATCATGGTCTCACAAATCGAATATTCATAAATAAATAAAATGCGAAAAGAGGAACAGAGAGAGCGAGGTTGAGGGAATGGTTTAATGGACCATAATTGTCATGAAATTTGATTTTATTGAGTTTTAAATCGCTTTCAAAAAAAGCTAAGAAAGAATCGACAGTATTTGATGATTATTTGATTCCTACTATTTATTCTTGGACCAACATGTCAGTGACCTAGTGGTACCAAACCCCTACTTTTTAAAGAGAGATCAGGGGTTCGAACCTCCGTGGAAGCATGTGTGTGTGAGTACCCAATTAGAAAAAAAAAAAAATTACCATTTACTCTTGGCGAAATCCTACTTAATTTAGAGAAAGTTATGCTACTGATAAATTCTTTGAAGAATACAGAATTATTAAAACGTACACCGTAAGTGATTAAAGAATTAAAACTCATGAAATTGAAGATCTTTCATAGTGTAAAATAAAAATGAAATGCAAATAAGAAAAAAAATAAATTTCTTTTAAATTAAAATGTAGATAATATTTATAGCTTCTTTTGCTTATCATTTCATTAATTTTTAAGAATTTCAGATGAATATATACGACTTGAAAAATATCATAATTATTGCGCTTGGATGCCTGATCTCATAAGTTACAGTCATTTAATTAGAATCTAGCAATTAAGCCCCCAGAAACCACTAGTTGGGTTCTTTTTTCCTTTTTCTTTTTTCATTTATATTAATGCTTTTATGTAATTTTTTCATTCTTAATTTTTATTTTTATTTTTTTAGGTAAATGGGTTAGCTTGAAATAAATAAAAAGGAGAATATACGAGAGGTCCAAAAATGATTATTTGTTATATATTCCAAAAATGATTTTTTTCATTCTTAAATTATTTGTTATATTCGTTCTTCATTTTGTACCGCAACAGACACAGCTTGCTTAAAAATGAGCTCACAGCAACTAAGTGCACAAAATTATAAATGGATGGATTACTTTAATTTACAGAGTTTGGGTGAACTAAATGTTCAGTAGTTCATATATAATCTCTTAATCAAATTTCTTCAGGACTAGGAATTAGCTCTCTCCCTTTCCATATGAATGAAAAGATGATATTCATAATATGTTATATGCATCTTCCTCAACATAGTATGGTAAATTCATACATTGTTAAATATTTCAAACTTCAAAAATATCGAACAATTCCAACTATATGACTGAGGAAGAATGTTCAGGCCTGCCAGTCTTATAGTGAAATTCGTAGAGAGAGATATACCATTACATATTCCCAAATTCCTCCATTACCATTTTTTACAATTTTAGGAATATATCCCATCCCTCATTTATATAAACATTCTAATTATGTTCCTGGTTATCGCTAATCGTGAAAGGTTACTTCCCAATCGACCAATCACCTGAGTCCAATGAAACTATTCCTTGTGAAATCACTGTTCGAGAACATGGTGTGTGGTCCATGCATGTTAAGTAATTAAACAAATGCAATTTTGCTTTGGGTGTGTGTGTGCGTATCAAGCAGAAGCACAAAAGCATAGTACAAAATAAAACAATAGAAAAGACATAGTTATGGGTCTCACAACCTTGCTTTAATTTCAATATTTTCAGTTAAAGTTGGTTTATATGCTCATATACCTCTTGTTTAGTCAACACAGTCATGATCGATCTGACCAGCACAAACCAAATTGCTGAGAGTTTCAGTAGTACAATCATTTTCTCCAAGGTGTGTGACCACTGCAATAACAAATAAAAAATTCCTTAGTGTGTTCATTAATTTTTGGAGAAAGAAATGGGCACTTCAGTCACTGGCTATTGTGGAATGGCATGCTGTGGCTTGGTGACTGGACCAATTGTAGATGAAGTTATTATGGAAGATCTGAACATTGTTAAGGATTCCATCAAGTGTACTAATCTATTGAAGAGATGTCATTAATTAGTAAGTGGATGCAGTCACTTAAGCAATGAAAGAGACTTGAAACCCTAGGAGTTAGGAAAAATGCTTTTGAGGAACCTAAGCAAATCTTACATTCTGTTTTCCTTTTCTTCTTTAGATGCCAACTTCCCACTTTTGTTGAGATTCTACTCATCTTCCCACACCACCCTTTGCTTTAGACTTAAGCAGGCATCACATCTAATCTCATGTAGATGCTTGTTAGGGATAATTAACTCCCTCCAACCCACTCAACGGTCGGCTGTTGGTGAAAGTTAAATCCCTCTTTCATCACACACAGCGGAAGCATCATCACATCACATCAATACAAGCATATATAGAGATAACAATCATACACATCAACGCACAACACAATAGTTTACATGGTTCACGCAACTCTAGGTTACGTCCATGGGAGAGAGAGATTTTTCTATTATGAATCAAGGAAGAGAATATACAACTACATATCAAAACCCCACTCACTCACTCATCATCTCTTTTGAGGCTACATGTATACACTCGGGAATTACATATACTCTCCCCTCTCCTCATAGCACTCACCCTTAAACCCCTTACATCTTTTCTCTCTTCTCTCTTTCTCTCTAAACCCCTCATACCCATCTCTATTTTTAGTGTCTTCAAAACTCAATTCCTTGTTGGACAAGTATTCCTCAAATCCAATTTCTTGTTGGACAAGGATTAACTTACTTGCAAGAAGTTACCATATCCATCTTCAACTCTAAAGACTTGAAGGCATAACTTCTTTCCCAAATCTTTAGTCTTTTTCCCCAAGTCTTCTGGATTTCAAAACCAATCAGGAAACTATTTCTCGCAGTTTCCAAAACGAAAAAAGAAACTAATTTTCTGCACACAAATTTTGACCCACAAACTCAACAATCTCCACCTTGGCTCAAAATTAAATCTTCACGTGCTTCTCCATAACTCCAACTTGAACAAGGACCTCTTCATAGCTCTACCTCAACTGAAGATTTATCCACCTCAAATAAAGCACTATGATGAACTTGAGAAACACTCTAACAACACTTTCAGTCCAGCGTTTTTTGGTACAGTAGGTTTGAAGTAATATTAAATTCTCTTGCACATGTAGGGACAACATCGGGGCAGTTTTAGAATAGGTTCCAGAAACCCTACCCCATCTCATCCCTGTTAAGCACTCATCCCGTTCTCGCTCCATAATGAGATGTGCATGCTAGGGTTTGGGATATGTTGTGTATGTATATATATATATATATATATATATATATATATATACACGGTGGTATTATTGTAATATCTTAAGATATGCTATTGTTGTTGTATTCGAGGTGGGATAGGGGCAAAGATAACATAAAACCCAACCCGGTCGGTCTCAAACTTGATTCGGGTTTCAATATCTAATGCTATACCTATCCCACTCGTTTAATTTAGGGGCATAACATCTCTGTTCCCTTAGAGACGGGGGAATGGCGGGATAAATTTCCATGCCTAGTACACATGGACAATAGAGAGAGAAGACAATTGTTTAGTGAAAAATGAGGCCTTTTAAGTGTAAGAATACGGATTTAAGTTTGAGAAATTTAAAATTATTGAGGTGAGTACTCTTTCCATGAGAGCTCCCAAAACCCTTCGGCCTTCCATTAGGAATCTACTACCAACCACCTTAAACCACCTTTCACTGCACTGAATTAACAACCCAATGCACATCCCCACATTGGTCATTAGCCTTAACCAATACTTAAAAAACCATCCTTACCACCAACTACAAGCACCCATCTAACCACACTCCCACCACCTGCTGCCAAGAAGGTCCCTATTACTATTACTAAGAAGGTCACATCTGTTATAAAGAAGGTCTCATTCTCCACTTCTGTTCATACAAGATCCACATGCTACCAAACCTTAAAATTTGTGGATTATCACAACAACATTCATGCTGATATTGATCCTAGTAGCACCTAGGCTTTGATAGATGAAATTTTTAGGCTTCGAGTTGAGCTAAATGAGTTCAAATGCAATCACACCTATAACCACCTGCTTGAAGAAGTTGAATGGCTCAGAGGACTCATTGGGGATGGTCTAAAATGTCAAGCTAAGATGAGAGCCAGGATCATTGCCCTTTTTGACCAGATCATTTCATCTAACCACTCTTCCATGCTCCTTGATACCGGAGCCTCTGCTCAGCATGATGATGATATCAGTGAGAATTCGACCCCCACTACAACCAGCCTGTGAATAGCCATTACTACCAAGAAGCAGCTCCACCACCACCATCCACCACCTCAAGTATCACATCAACCTCGAAGATGCTTCTGTTACAGATTTGA